TACGTGATGGATGAGCCAGGTTAGGCTCAAGGTGCCAGCACACATAGCTAATTAAGCTCCCGGTCTGTGTGGAAACAGGTGTCGTACAGAGCATTACAGGCAATTCAATATCCATGTACTACAACTCGCAAACTAAACATGTCACTAGCCTTCCTATTTTGTGAGCTAAATCGCGATGTTAATCGTATTTGATGTGTGACAGTTCAGCACGAAGGAGCCGTTATCTGCGAGTACCTGTTCATTTAATAGTTATACGGCCTCACCGCAGTGGGATGTAATCCGAGTGCTTGCTATTTATCATGGACCATTTCACGACAGCTGAATATGACGAAAGTGGATTAATTACAAATTAGCGAATAGTTTACCATGTGGGGGGAGGGGCAGCGGTGGCCACGTGGTTAAGGCGTCTAACGTTCTGCTACCACTAGCCCTCCACCGCTGGGTCGAGGGTTCGAGACCTACGTGGGGCAGTCGCCAGGTACTGGCCGTCGGTCGGTGGTTTTTCTCCGGGAACTCCGGCTTTCCTCCACCACCAAAACCTGGCACGTCCTTAAATGACAATAGCTGTTTATAGGACGTAAAACACAAACAAAAAATGTGAGGAAATTATACAAAATTAAATTACAATACCATCACATTTCAGAAATGTGCAGATTTTACGAGGCTTATTTTGTGTACAGTAGAATAAGGTACGTGTGTTCACCTAATACTAAGTTAATAGTGTTTTCCAAAACTTTTGTATGGTAACGTTAACAACACAGGTCTCCCTCCAATCTATGCCGTATCGGTAGGCGGTCGTTCACCAGCTAAACTCTCTAGCAACCAGATTTCGGTGGGAATATAACTCACTTCTCTCGAGGTATAGACGTATATGCAATTTTCGTTATAACTTCTCCTCAAGTGTCATCAATATTCGTTCGTACTTTATTTTCATATAAATGCAGCAATAAAGTGTAGCTTTATATAAACTTGACAGTGGCGGATCCAGAGACCTATCTGGGGGGGTTTCCAAATTTCCAGGGGGGGTTTCCATGTGGGGGAAAATTGAGGAAAATAGTGAAAATACATGATTTTTAAAGAAAAATCAGGGTGGGGGGGTTTCCTGAAGCCCTAAAAACCCCTCTGGATCCGCCACTGCTTGAGCAAATAAAGAAATGGATACATATGATTATTATAAATATGTATGTGTCTGGTTCTCCAGTCCTATCATAGCGACGCATGACAACATGGTGTCTTTTGAAGACTTCGGCGTTGTGATTGGCTGTGACGTCAGACGGGTATACTTCAACGTCACAGCAGTGCACGTGCCTCTGTTGTTGCTGGTCTAAGTGCCTCTCCTGATGTGACACTGGCACAACGGTGGTTTAATTCCCACCCATGGCGTGACAAGCTTTAGGCTGGTTTATTTACAGGTGTCTGCTGGCATTACCTATGATATGGAGAGCGGTCGTGAATATTCTATATCTTAAAAGGTATCTGAAAACCAGACATAAAATCCATTTTGTGTTCAGGAGGAAGACTTATTCTGTAAACCTTAACTCTATTTACCACTGTCATTCGAAATCTTACTTGACTCATCTTTTAAACACTCCTTTTTATCGGGGTTCAACGTCCTCTTAACAGACATGGTAATGCATGTGATGTACAATTCTAAGAGGCCCTCATTTGTGGTCAGGATAGGTAACAACCCAAGCTATTACGATATATTGGTATCCCATCGTCATTCTGTGATAGAAAAAAAAAAATTACGTCGAGTATTCCTATTAAACCGATTGGATGCTACTGAAGAGATTCTCAGAAGGGTAGATTGGTATAATGGTTTCTCGCATTCCACGCGGATGTGTGTGGTTCGATTCCTTGTTTGACCGCGTGAGACGGAGAATATTAAAACATTACTAACGTGTTATGCAGTGAAGACATACATCGAACGTGCATTTCTATCTATTATGGAAACGGTTAATATCATCCCCATGGAAGACCCTCCTTTCCCGCGAAGGAACGTTGATGTTTTTTCTGTTACTGTCGACCCTATCTTACATGTAATTTGTAAATGCAATGTTAAAGTCACGGTTATGCAAAATTAACGCTATAGCACACAATTGTTATGACTTTGGATTTTCCAATCTTTCATAGAGATTTATCGAATGTTTCCTTCGAAATAAGATTAATATCAGTCGTCCTTTTGATAGGGGTCTCGTTACCAGTTGTACCCAGTTTAGGAGGCCTCGATTGTTACCACTAGTCCTTTTGCTATAGAAGGTCTCGTTACCAGTAGTTCTTTTGATAGATGATCTCGTTACCAGTAGTTCTTTTGATAGATGATCTCGTTACCAGTAGTTCTTTTGATAGATGATCTCGTTACCAGTAGGTCTTTGAAAGGCGGTNTCGTTACTAGTAGTTTTTGTTATATAGGAGGTATCGTTACCAGTCGTTTGTCTCATTACCAGTAGGAAACAACTCAAAGAGCAGGCTATGAACGTTTTAATATCCACAAGCGACCTAAAGCAAGCCATGGACAATTTTGACAACTGACACGCTTGCCAGCCTGTAATCGTGATCGATTCTTTGAGACTAAAAACCGTTCACGTCTTGATCATCTTTCAACGACTAAAGGCCATAGTGCCGCGTTTACTGTAAGATTATATTACCATTTTTTCTGTTCCGTGATACAATATATGTTTCTGATCCGTTGGTCTAGATTTCGATGCTTGAATGGGTCTTTTCTTGTTGTTCTGTAATGTTGTCTCTTTGATCCATGTAATGTTGCCTTATCGTACCCTGTAATGTTGTTTCGTCGCTCAATGTAATTTCCCGTCGCTCCATATAATTTTGTCTATTAGTTCTTAATAAAAACAAATCCTCGCTCCATTTAATGTTGTCCCGTTGCTCCATATACGGCTACCACGTAATTTTGTCGCTTATTTCTATGTTATTTTGTCTCGTCACTTCACGTTATGTTGTCACATGGCTTCACGTCATATTTCCTCGTCGCTCAAAGAAATGTTGTCCCGTCCCTCCACATAATGTTTTCTCGTCCCTTAATATAATGTTGTCTCGTCCATCGATGCAATATGGCCTCGTCGCTCCATGCAATGTTGCCTCGTCGCTCCATGTAATGCTGCCTTGTTGCTCTATGGCTGGTTATGTTTCTGTAGTCCTGCTGTCCTGTGATTTCAGGTATTGACGGTTTTTCTATCTGTTTTTTGTTGTACCCTGTTTAACATCCTTTGTGTTGCATATGTGTCGTCATGTGTATCGTCATGCGTCAACGATCTCCCACCAGACCTTAGTAGGCAGCATAGATAACCGTTAACGTGGTGACAGTTGAAAATGCGGTGTCGATAACAAAACGTCCCAATTCGCGTTGATTCGTAGAACAAGCTGAAATAGAACCTGCAGTTTTGAATTGTAGATATTAACAACACAGGCAATTTTACTTGAGAATGTCGTAGGAGTGAAAGTCGCCAACATTCTGTAAAACAGATTTGGAACTTCGTAATTCCCGAAAGGTCACTCTCTAAAGGTCATATTGACAAGATTGGGTAAGGGATACACATTCCGATTGCCAGGGTATGAATGGTTTTAATTGATTATTTTTCATTGTCTCCCAGAAAAAAAGAACGAATCACTTCTTTTGATGGGATCGCAAGGAGCTTTTGTTCTCAGACCAATGGAATGATACGTCAATCTCAATGTGGCATCTGCGTACGTACATGCCTTGTTATCTTGAGTAAGTGACGGTATCAAACACGGTCTCCCTCTAGTGAGAGACAGTATCAAACACTGTTACCCTCTAGTGAGTGACAGTATACAACATTGTCACCCTCTAGAGACTGACGGTATCCAAAACTGTTACCCTTTAGCGAGAGACGGTATCCAACACTGTTACCCTGTAGTGAGTGATGGTATCCAACACTGTTACCCTCTAGTGAGTGACAGTATCCAACATTGTCAACCTCTAGAGAGTGATGTTATCCAACACTGTTATCCTCTATTGAGTGATGGTATCCAACACTGTTACCCTCGAGTGAGTGACGGTATCCAACATTGTCACCCTCTAGAGAGTGACGTTATCCAACCCTGTTACCCTCTAGTGAGAGACGGTATGGGATACCGACAAAACTGTTACCCTTTAGCGAGAGACAGTATCAAACACTGTTAACCTCTAGTGAGTGACAGTATACAACATTGTCACCCTCTAGAGACTGACGGTATCCAAAACTGTTACCCTTTAGCGAGAGACAGTATCAAACACTGTTAACCTCTAGTGAGTGACAGTATCCAACATTTTCATCCTCTAAAGAGTGACGTTATCCAACACTGTTACCCTCTAGTGAGAGACGGTATTGGATACCGACAAAACTGTTACCCTTTAGCGAGAGACGGTATCCAACACTGTTACCCTCTAGTGAGTGGCANTGTTGACTGGTCACATGTTAGGTAATCGAACGCACCTATAATTACAAGCACCCCGATGATCAAGCGTTTTTGGTACTGGATTGTTGACGGTCGTCTGTCGGTAGACCTAAACATCACATTCGACATAGAACTTTTTGGTTTTTCATTGTTAAGTAACAAAACAGTTGTTTCATGCCTTATCAGTCAACAGTCAAAACTATTTTCCCGAGGAGTTGGGACCCTCCAGATGAACTGTTTCCCGAGGCTGTCACCCTCTAGTGAGAGACGGTATCCAACATCGTCACCCTCTAGAGAGTGACGTTATCCAACACTGTTACCCTCTAGTGAGAGACGGAATCCAATATTGTTACCCTCAAGTGAGAGACGGTATCCAACACTGTTACCCTCTAGTGAGAGACGGTATTGGATACCGTCCAAAATTGTTACTCAGGAGTGAGTGACGGTATCCAACACTGTTACCCTTTAGTAAGTGACATTATACAACACTGTTACCCACTAGTGTATGTCAGTATCCACCGGTACCCTTGCATGCATATCTGTTTTACATGATCTAATTTTGACATTGATTTTGTTTTTTGTAGATATGAAATGCAGGACCCTCCAGAAACGGATCCCACACGGGTCTGTGCACGTGGTCCCATACAACATGTTCGGGGCAATGGCGCGCTACTCGTGTGATGACGGCTACGAGATCAGCGGTGTTGCCAGGCGCGTTTGTCAGGGCGACGGGGAATGGAGCAACGAGGAACCGGAATGTATCATCAGCTCTGAGGTAACAGGTAGGTCAAAGTCACGATGACAGAGATTGGAGCAACGGCGATCCAGAGTTTACTGTTACCTACGGCAACTCGTAGGTCAAGGTCGCGAAGACAGGAAGTGATGAAGAAAAGTTAATGTATTGTCAGAAGTGAGAGCAAACTTATTTTCAATTGGACTTGAAAAGAAGCAAAAAGTAACTTTAATATGGAGTGTATTTAAAAGAAGCATCATCGAAAACCGTTACCGTCTTTGGTCGCACATAGGTCAAAGTCATTGTCCGTCATATCTCAAGTCACAAATAGGTCAAGTTTAATATCCGTAATATCTTGTCATAAGTTGGCCAAGTGTATTGTCCGTCATCTCTCAGGTCACAAATGCGTCAAGTTTATTGTCCGTCATCTCTCAGGTCACAAGTAGGTCAATGCTATTGTATTGTCCGTCATATCTCTCAGGTCACTAGTAGGTCAATGCTATTGTCCGTCATATCATTCAGTTCACTAGTAGATCAAGGTTATTGTCTGTCATCTCTCAGTTCACTAGTAGGTCAAAGTTATTCTCCGTTATATATCAGGTCACAAGTAGGTCAATGCTATTGTCCGTCATATATCTCAGTTCACTATTAGGTCAAGGTTATTGTCTGTCATCTCTCAGTCCATTAGTAGGCCAATGCTGTTGTCCGTCATATCTCTCAGGTCACAAGTAGGTCAATGCTATTGTCCGTCATATCTCTCAGGTCACAAGTAGGTCAATGGTTTTGTCCGTCATATCTCTCAGTTCACTAGTAGGTCAAGGTTATTGTCTGTCAGCTCTCAGTTCACTAGTAGGTCAATGCTGTTGTCCGTCATATCCCTCAGGTCACAAGTAGGTCAATGCTATTGTCCGTCATATCTCTCAGGTCACAAGTAGGTCAATGCTGTTGTCCGTCATATCTCTCAGGTCACAAGTAGGTCAATGCTGTTGTCCGTCATATCTCTCAGGTCACAAGTAGGTCAAGGCTATTGTCTGTCATATCTCTTAGCTAACTAGTAGGTCAAGGTTATTGTCTGTCATCTCTCTCAGTTCACTAGTAGGTCAAGGTTATTATGAAAGGGATTAAGTAACAAGAATTGAAACGAACCGTCGTCCCTAAGATGGTTTTTGTGCAAGGGACTGAAAAAAATTAACCGGGAGATCAACTATTGTCACAAGCACATCAATGCACGCTAATGCCGTCAACGTCAAAAAGTCAAAGTTATTTGAGGTTCGGGAAGTTAAATTGCTGAATACAAATTGTTGCGAGACAAAAGTCACAAGAGAGTGAGAATATTTTACACCAACATCTCAGGCTTGACTGCTGGAGGTCAAACAACAAACAATAATTCATAAAGAAACAATGCTTATGTTATACCACATGGTATCAGCATTTGCTCCAATTATATAAGATCTTGATTTTGTGAATTTAATGAAAAAACATATTTTGACGTTTTTTATTGTGTTGTCATTTCCTGTTGCTAGTGAACACAGACTGTGGACCTCCGCCGGTTGTACACAATGCCAAACACGATCGTGAGCCGTGGGCGACGTCGTTTGAACAGGGAGTCATGCTGCAGTACGAGTGTGACGTCGGATTTACATCAAACAGAGGGAGTATCTTCCGGGCGTGGTGTGTCCGGAGTGGATGGGTGGGACCTAACATGACGTGTAGCCGTGAGTAACAGTATATCGGTAGAATGGGGGTGGGGCCTAACATGACGTGTAGCCGTGAGTAACAGTATATCGGTAGAATGGGGGTGGGGCCTAACATGACGTGTAGCCGTGAGTAACAGTATATCGGTAGAATGGGGGTGGGGCCTAACATGACGTGTAGCCGTGAGTAACAGTATATCGGTAGAATGGGGTGGGGCCTAACATGACGTGTAGCCGTGAGTAACAGTATATCGGTAGAATGGGGTTGGGGCCTAACATGACATTTAGCCGTGAGTAACAGTATATCGGTAGAATGGGGTGGGGCCTAACATGACGTGTAGCCGTGAGTAACAGTATATCGGTAGAATGGGGGTGGGGCCTAACATGACATTTAGCCGTGAGTAACAGTATATCGGTAGAATGGGGTGGGGCCTAACATGACGTGTAGCCGTGAGTAACAGTATATCGGTAGAATGGGGGTGGGGCCTAACATGACATTTAGCCGTGAGTAACAGTATATCGGTAGAATGGGGTGGGGCCTAACATGACGTGTAGCCGTGAGTAACAGTATATCGGTAGAATGGGGGTGGGGCCTAACATGACATTTAGCCGTGAGTAACAGTATATCGGTAGAATGGGGTGGGGCCTAACATGACGTGTAGCCGTGAGTAACAGTATATCGGTAGAATGGGGGTGGGGCCTAACATGACATTTAGCCGTGAGTAACAGTATATCGGTAGAATGGGGTGGGGCCTAACATGACGTGTAGCCGTGAGTAACAGTATATCGGTAGAATGGGGGTGGGGCCTAACATGACATTTAGCCGTGAGTAACAGTATATCGGTAGAATGGGGTGGGGCCTAACATGACGTGTAGCCGTGAGTAACAGTATATCGGTAGAATGGGGGTGGGGCCTAACATGACATTTAGCCGTGAGTAACAGTATATCGGTAGAATGGGGTGGGGCCTAACATGACGTGTAGCCGTGAGTAACAGTATATCGGTAGAATGGGGGTGGGGCCTAACATGACATTTAGCCGTGAGTAACAGTATATCGGTAGAATGGGGTGGGGCCTAACATGACGTGTAGCCGTGAGTAACAGTATATCGGTAGAATGGGGGTGGGGCCTAACATGACATTTAGCCGTGAGTAACAGTATATCGGTAGAATGGGGTGGGGCCTAACATGACGTGTAGCCGTGAGTAACAGTATATCGGTAGAATGGGGGTGGGGCCTAACATGACATTTAGCCGTGAGTAACAGTATATCGGTAGAATGGGGTGGGGCCTAACATGACGTGTAGCCGTGAGTAACAGTATATCGGTAGAATGGGGGTGGGGCCTAACATGACATTTAGCCGTGAGTAACAGTATATCGGTAGAATGGGGTGGGGCCTAACATGACGTGTAGCCGTGAGTAACAGTATATCGGTAGAATGGGGGTGGGGCCTAACATGACATTTAGCCGTGAGTAACAGTATATCGGTAGAATGGGGTGGGGCCTAACATGACGTGTAGCCGTGAGTAACAGTATATCGGTAGAATGGGGGTGGGGCCTAACATGACATTTAGCCGTGAGTAACAGTATATCGGTAGAATGGGGTGGGGCCTAACATGACGTGTAGCCGTGAGTAACAGTATATCGGTAGAATGGGGGTGGGGCCTAACATGACATTTAGCCGTGAGTAACAGTATATCGGTAGAATGGGGTGGGGCCTAACATGACGTGTAGCCGTGAGTAACAGTATATCGGTAGAATGGGGGTGGGGCCTAACATGACATTTAGCCGTGAGTAACAGTATATCGGTAGAATGGGGTGGGGCCTAACATGACGTGTAGCCGTGAGTAACAGTATATCGGTAGAATGGGGGTGGGGCCTAACATGACATTTAGCCGTGAGTAACAGTATATCGGTAGAATGGGGTGGGGCCTAACATGACGTGTAGCCGTGAGTAACAGTATATCGGTAGAATGGGGGTGGGGCCTAACATGACATTTAGCCGTGAGTAACAGTATATCGGTAGAATGGGGTGGGGCCTAACATGACGTGTAGCCGTGAGTAACAGTATATCGGTAGAATGGGGGTGGGGCCTAACATGACATTTAGCCGTGAGTAACAGTATATCGGTAGAATGGGGTGGGGCCTAACATGACGTGTAGCCGTGAGTAACAGTATATCGGTAGAATGGGGTTGGGGCCTAACATGACATTTAGCCGTGAGTAACAGTATATCGGTAGAATGGGGGTTGGGGCCTAACATGACGTTGAGCCGTGAGTAACAGTATATCGGTAGAATGGGGTGGGGCCTAACATGACGTGTAGCCGTGAGTAACAGTATATCGATAGAATTGGGATTGGGGCCTAACATGACATTTAGCCGTGAGTAACAGTATATCGGTAGAATGGGGGTTGGGGCCTAACATGACATTTAGCCGTGAGTAAAAGTATATCGGTAGAACGGGGGTTGGGCCTAACATGACATTTAGTCGTGAGTAACAGTATATCGATAGAATGGGGGTTGGGTCTAACATGACGTGTAGCCGTGAGAAACAGTATATCGGTAGTATGGCATCTGCCTAACATGACTTGTAGCCGTGCGTGTATATCGGTAGAATGGGGGTTGGGGCCTAACATGACGTTTAGCCCTGAGTAACAGTATATCGGTAGAATAGGGTGGGGCCTAACATGACGTGTAGCTGTGAGTAACAGTATATCGTTAGAATGGGGTGGGGCATAACATGACCTATAGCCGTGAGTCAAAGTATATCGGTAGAATGGGGTGGGGCCTACCATGACGTGTAGCCGTGAGAAACAGTATATCAGTAGTATGGCATCTGCCTAACATGACTTGTAGCCGTGCGTGTATATCGGGGTAGGGCCTAACATGACGTTTAGTATATGTGAAAAACAGTTCTTGAAGGAAATAACTTATAATAACAAGACACTGTCAGGTGTAATAGAGGTTGATATTGAATTCCTTCCTAGTGGATAAAAAATAAGGTAGAGTTTGTTACTGTGCTGAAGTTTTAATCAACAAAGATAACATTATCTATCCATCTACAATAACACTTGAAACCTTAGTTGCGTACACTGAATCTCTGACAGTTGTCCTCTGAATAAAAAATAAAAATAAAAATAAATCAGTTTCCTGAATTTATTGATGAACCTCTTATTTGCGTTCCTGATTTTCTTACGATTTTGTAGATGTCATAATAATAGAAAACATGTCTTTTTTATGAGAAACACTAGTAGACGATACAGGTAGTCATATAGAACAAAAATGGTAGTTTTTTGTTTTGCACCGTATGTTCTGAAGTAGCAAATATGTGTAATACCGCCATATCATCCATATTTCACTTTGTGAATAACAAACTAAACTGACTTTTACCATTTTTCTATGTGTCGTAGCCATGCTATGCTAAATATGTGTGGTGAATTTCCTTTACCAGACGCTGGGTGTCCCCTAAACCACACTTCCATCGAGAACGGGGGGATTATCCCCCCTAGTCAGATCACAACGGGCGTCAAACTGCAATACTTCTGCAAGCATGGCTATTTCTTAGCTGGGCGGGAGGAGCGCGAGTGTCTCCCAGATGGCACGTGGGGAGGGCGTGAGCCGAGCTGTGAGAAAGGTAATTCATATGTTACATTTAGCTATTGGACAGGGCCAGTATTCATGAAACCGTTCTCATGCTCAATCATAGATTATATGCTCAATCATAGATTATATGCTCAATCAAAGATTATATGCTCAATCATAGATTATATGCTCAATCATGGATTACATGCTCAATCATAGATTATATGCTCAATCAAAAATTATATGCTCAATCATAGATTTTATGCTCAATCATAGATTATATGCTCAATAATAGATTATATGCTCAATCAAAGATTATATGCTCAATCATAGATCACATGCTCAATCATAGATTATATGTTCAATCATAGATTATAATTATTTATGCTCAATCATAGATTATATGCTCAATCATAGATTATATGTTCAATCATAGAGTATATGCTCAATCATAGATTATATGTTCAATCATAGATTTTATGCTCAATCATAGATTATATGCTCAATAATAGATTAAATGCTCAATCAAAGAGTATATGCTCAATCATAGATTACATGTTCAATCATAGATTATATGCTCAATCATAGATTACATGCTCAATCAAAGATTATATGCTCAATCATAGATTATATGTTCAATCATAGAGTATATGCTCAATCATAGATTATATGTTCAATCATAGATTATATGTTCAATCATAGATTATATGCTCAAGCATAGATTATATGCTCAATCATAGATTATATGCTCAATCATAGATTATATGCTCAAAGTCACTTTATTGTTACTTACTAAAATCATGACAAACAATAAAAAATGCAAATGTAAACATTGAAAACAATATTTGTCTTTAAGTCTCTTCATTTTTTTCTCTCAAATCATTCACAAAATAAGATTTTATCATTAATTTATAAAATAGGAACAAGAAATTAGATTTGAGCACAAAATCCATGCTTGAGCATGAAAACGGTTTCAGGATACCAAAATTCGATCAACGGCTTTCAGCATTACAACGTTCATCAAGTATACGTACATATCAAGCAGGTATCGGTGTACAAGTCAAACTGAACAATATTTTGGTAAAAATCACTTTCAAAACTCAGTCTTTGTAGCGTTTGACGATTGATCGCAATAGTACACAAGTAGTTTATATTGGATACCAGAGATGGTGCTTCGATAGAACGATGTCTCCGTATGAAAAGTATGACTCGGTAAGAGCCATCAAATGTATTCGGCATGATGGTGCCCCGGTGGCGGGCTTCATGGAATATATGGAAACCGGTATACATTACTGGTAAAACTGTGTTTTGATTAGATGACGCATCGATGAGTTTTTTGTACACGCGTAAGGTTTCGAAATGGAGTGCTTCAAATATATGGCATAATATGATCGGTATATCCATTTCGTTACCAAAATAACCTTTCTGACCAAGTTTCTGATATGTGCAGGAGGAGTATCATCAAGTTTAAATCTTTTGAAAGTTTGCTTCGTGGGGGATGGGGGTATGCTTCCGGCGTGAAGGTAAATCAGAAGCAAGCAAGAAAAAAAGTATATCAAGTGACTAACTAGTACCCTATCGTTAGCCATACAGCCCGGAACCGCACACCAGTATGTTGGCATATTGTTTTGACAGCTGTCGGACTATCGGTGTTTACCGGTAGTACATAGCCCTCGACCCCATAGCGTGACATGTGCATCTCGACGTTATATCAGTGGTACTAGATAATCATCGGTACAAATTGTTTTCGAGGTGATTAAGGTCGTGCTATATTTTTAACTAACGGAGCAAGTCACCCACGTAAATTCTGTATTTAGACTCAGTAATAGTAACCCAATGGTCGATTTTGTTTACTTTGATATGGAATAAACAATCGCCGATTCTACCATGAACTGAAAATGATTATTTAATACACAAAAAGGACACTTGTCAATAGCTATAATACGAGCTTGCGACTCAATGGTATATTCAAAACTGCAAGATAGCATCGAAAACATTTATTTTAGTAATAAAATATTAGAAACGGTATACTGTGAATTTTACTACGAAATAGTTATGCCCGGTCAATATTTATATAAAAATCCAAAATGGCAGGGGTGATGCAGAATTAACCGAGTGGTCTCATTTCACATGTACCAGGCTCCACTCGTCGGTAAGATACATCGCAAACACTCTTTCTTCTTACAGTGACGTGTGGACCACCACCCATCATCGAACACGCCATCATCATGGATATCGAGACTGACGGAACGTTTGCATCCGGGCAACAGCTTACGTATGCTTGTGACCGAGGTTACGACATGAAAGGAGACCCGAGAGCGATGTGTAACACGGATGGCGATTGGACCTGGTTAGGAATCAGGCTCATGTGTAGACGTATGAAATCTATTAATACATATCTATAAAATGACGTTCTTTTAAATAAGATTTCAAGGGCATCTTAATGACGTTCTTTTAAATAAGATTTCAAGGGCATCTCGTTACCTATTTAGTAGGTTTTGAGTGGAAGTGCGCTAAAAGTAAACTCCCGTGGCATAGTTCGACAAGACAAGTTGACAGTTTCTTGACTATTTTTCTAACAAATATGAGGTTATGTGTGACGTTGCCTCATATTTGATAGAAAAATAGTCAAATAGTGAAAGCTAAACGAACCAAGGAAGGTGTTGCTTTACAAGGCGGTTGGGGATAATGTTATGGAAAAATAAGAATGCGTGGCCATTGTGTATGTTCTGTTTGATAGTATGTACTGTATCTTGTGTCATCGATCACTGAACCGACACAGGATGAACGACAGTAGCTTTCCTTGTCACTTTCGAAAGCATTTTAAATCGGGTTTTGCTGGGTGATCAATTCATTATCATTTAACGAAAGTGGTATTTATTTGTTTACTTCTCGCGTCCGTTTATCACTTCGCCACATTGATAAAGTTAACATCTCTGCATATCGATACTGCGGCGCTTCCATTTCCGATTTAATGCTAACATAGTGCTACATAATGCTGTGCTGTCGTACAAATACGCACTTTGAGCCAAATATATAAATATGTGTGTGTTCCCAATTATTGTAGCCATCAACTGTGGATTCCCCGGGAACCTGGTGAACGGCTGGCAATCGGGTCATCGCTTCTTCTTCGGGGAGACGGTCACTTATCATTGTAACGAGGGATACGAACTCATAGGGCAGAGAAACCGGACTTGTGAGGAAAACAAAAAATGGTCTGGATTTCTACCGAAATGTATAGGTAAGATAACAGGACAACTATCATAACAGCTTACATATAAGACTTACTTAGATCCATTAACCAGTTTTCAAACATCTGTTTTACGAGAATTTTACGATTACATGTTATCACATAGTTACAAGACCATATATAGGCCTATAAACGCTACCACAAAAAAATGAATCAGTGCCATTTTGAAGCTTCATTCCCGCCTCGAATGACGTGAGACCTATCATTAGACGCAAATACTTTAGTGACGTTCGGCTGCTCACCAGTACATACTCTTTCATGCTACAAAATTTTAATATAATGGAAGTCGGTTACTCTAGCGGACTAATATAATATGGATGTAATTGATTTGCGTTCATACCGGCATGAATTGTATATGTCTACAGATTTCTCTAATCCTTTGGTGAACTAATATTTCTTCTCACCTCTACGTGTGTGGGACACCCATGTGAAGAAAGCCTTTCTTCTACTTTCACACATGTGTAGTAGGACGATGAATAGTGATAAAGAAAGTGCCGTCGCTAGGACTCGAACCCGCGACCTTGGGTCTCCAGCCTGATGCTCTACCGCTGAGCTAAAGGGAAAGTCCCTTCAGCTGACTCATGAAAGGCAACCTAAGCAATGCACATCCTTTACACATGTATCCACACTTTTCCAGCTGTGGTATTAATATAATATTTAACTCCTATTTGATTAGACCCACAATCTCACCACCCGGGGGAAGAATGGTTCTTTCACTCTTGCCTTGGCGTTGAGACTAATTGATTCTCCATTTATAACAATTGTATACTACAACTTCAACAATACATTGACGTAGTGTCAACATTGTATACATGACAGGAACAACTACATAAGGGAAACAAATATGGCCGAACAAATAGTTACTTCCCCTTTGATTTGAGATCTCTGTCAAGGGAATGAAAGATTCTGTAATCGTTTTGTACAACACCGAGATATGTCCATTTCCTGTAGCGCATGAAGATTTCATCGTTTGCACGCGCAAGTTATCGCGGTCGTCTTATCAGCCAAGGGGTATAACTCGTGCTTTGTTTACATCCCGTCTGCTCTCTCCAATACACATCAAGATGTTCGTAATATATACGTAGTTCGTGGGAACATAGTTGACCGTAGTGACTACGGTCAACTAGGTAAAAGTAGGTTCAAAATCGGCAAAAGAGGAAATATAAAGAAAGCAGGGTGAGCTACGTGTAATTAAGGCCAACTACATTGAACTATGAACAAAATGGCTGGGGTTAACCAGAGACGTATAATACATGTATTATACGTCTCTGGGTTAACTAGGGTCGCACTACCTCTAACTACGGACAACTACGTTAAACGACGGCCAAGTATGATCAATTACGGTCACCCACGTTCAAACTACGGTCACGGTAGGGTCTTGGCATACAAACTCGTGTGGAGATATTTTGAACATGTTGAACATTTGTGGGCTAACCACGGCCAAATCATCGGTCCCTTGAAGTTCAAACTACGTTGAAATACATCTAACTACGTTTAATACGTTTAACTAAGGTCACCTACGGTTTACTAAAGTCAACTACGGCTATCCCCCACTACGGTCAACTACGTGCGTAACCGGAAGATGTGACCCCGTCTTTAAATTCGGAGTATTTGTACATGCACAAGGAGGAATTGTTGACGTCCAATTCTGCTCCAGGAAATGGGACTGTTTTTCTTTCGTTAGACGTCATGACATTTTCACACAATTCAATACGCACTACAATCAAGTAATTGATTTTAGTTGAACAGCTGATTGAAACAGAATCCATCCCTGATGTGAAGTATAAAGAAGGTCATTCAAAGACTCGCGATAAAATCTTAAGCAGGGACGCTTAGGAAGCCTCTGGTCTCGACTCAATATTTTATCACTCGAGATTGAAATTACCTTACGCATGCCTCATATCAAGAATGGAGTCTGTTAACTCCACATAAAAGCACCCGATGACCTCAAGTTCGGGAACCACTTTTTTTTTTAGATCATGACAAAGATTGCATAAAAGTAAACAGATTGTTTGAGTTGAAAATGCTCATACTTTCAGTATTGTCTGCAATTCGTCTGACTGTAAACACTTATACATTAAACATTATTGTTGTTCAGTAGATAAATATACATGTGTACAGAAATAAGAATGAAAACATNGCACGCGCAAGTTATCGCGGTCGTCTTATCAGCCAAGGGGTATAACTCGTGCTTTGTTTACATCCCGTCTGCTCTCTCCAATACACATCAAGATGTTCGTAATATATACGTAGTTCGTGGGAACATAGTTGACCGTAGTGACTACGGTCAACTAGGTAAAAGTAGGTTCAAAATCGGCAAAAGAGGAAATATAAAGAAAGCAGGGTGAGCTACGTGTAATTAAGGCCAACTACATTGAACTATGAACAAAATGGCTGGGGTTAACCAGAGACGTATAATACATGTATTATACGTCTCTGGGTTAACTAGGGTCGCACTACCTCTAACTACGGACAACTACGTTAAACGACGGCCAAGTATGATCAATTACGGTCACCCACGTTCAAACTACGGTCACGGTAGGGTCTTGGCATACAAACTCGTGTGGAGTTATTTTGAACATGTTGAAAAATGTTGGGCTAACCACGGCCAAATCATCGGTCTCTTGAAGTTCAAACTACGTTTATAATTACGTTGAAATACATCTTATTACGTTTAATACATTTAACTAAGGTCACCTACGGTTTACTAAAGTCAACTACGGCTATCCCCCACTACGTTCAACTACGTGCGTAACCGGAAGATGTGACCCCGGCTTTAAATTCGGAGTATTTGTACATGCACAAGGAGGAATTGTTGACGTCCAATTCAGCTGCAGGAAATGGGACTGTTTTTCTTTCGTTAGACGTCATGACATTTTCACACAATTCAATACGCACTACAATCAAGTAATCGATTTTAGTTGAACAGCTGATTGAAACAGAATCCATCCCTGATGTGAAGTATAAAGAAGGTCATTCAAAGACTCGCGATAAAATCTTAAGCAGGGACGCTTAGGAAGCCTCTGGTCTCGACTCAATATTTTATCACTCGAGATTGAAATTATCTTACGCATGTCTCATATCAAGAATGGAGTCTGTTAACTCCACATAAAAGCACCCGATGACCTAAAGTTCGGGAACCACTTTTTTTTAGATCATGACAAAGATTGCATAAAAGTTAACAGATTGTTTGAGTTGAAAATGCTCATACTTTCAGTATTGTCGGCAATTCCTCTGACTGTAAACACTTATACATTAAACATTATTGTTGTTCAGTAGATAGATATACATGTGTACAGAAATAAGAATGAAAACATATTGTCCGTGACTACATTCTTAGCACAATGTGACGAGGACAACAAACGCAGGGATCTTATCGAACATACACATTTATCATTTTATCAACAATAATTGTACAATTCCGTGCTAGAGTACTATTGCCTTGTGACCTAGCATCACAGTTAGAACTTAAATAGCATTCGTCTTTTAACCCATTAACGCCTGAATTTGAACCTTACCGAATCAAAGACTGGGCAAGTCCAGTTTTAATATGTAGGAGTGAAAGAGTTAAGCCAGTACAATCATGTGTGAGCTAGTGACGTCATCGTTGGGTTAACATCAGAGCCAATATCTAAGAGTTAACTTTGATAGTACAGTGGATGGTTACTTATGTATCGTGTTACGCCCCAGTCATACCGGGCCTGCGACCAGGATACGACCTAGCTGCGACTGAAAAACGTTTGATTCGCGAGCAAATCGCGCCTAGTCGCAAAGGTCGTTTGTGTCCACACGATCAAAATCAGTTGCAGGTCGATGGTCATGCTCAAAACTTCTTACCTGCGATTGATAATCGTAAGAGGTCGCAGACAGGTCTTACATGGTCGTGTGACCAAGTTTCAAGTTTTATTTTTACACTCACGCCACACGTATACGTGCGTAACAAGAAGTCACATATCACATAGTATACATTGATGGACATAGTACACACATAATATGACACATGATACAATTTATACAATAACAACCCATTTCAATAATTCTTTTAACTAACTTATCTTAGATATTAAGTAGCTTCATTACTCTTTGTATACATTTACTTACCTTTGTTAAAAGTACCGTGTTATATATTGAGAAAATTCCTTTCATTTTGATATAAGTTGGGTTGACATAATAATAATTTGGTATATAAAGTTGTCTAAGAGCTACAACAGATACATTAGTACATTGGTATAAGTAGTGGTATTCGTCCCCAACACAGTTATTACATAGGGGACATAACCTTTCCTCGCGTGGGACTATATTCCATCTTCCTGTTTCTATAGGAAATTTTATATTTGATGTTCTAAATTTACATATTACTTTTCGTTCATTACGATTAAACTTTAAAAGATATGGTTCAATATTAAACTGATATTTGAATAAGGAATAAACTTGCCCTCGCGAGATGGTTTTTAACATCATGAAACCAACTTTGAATGAATTGATCGCATAATCTCTGCTTAATGATAGTTTTCAAGCATTTTCTATTGATTGTACATGATATTTGGAAAGTCCATAAATTATTAAATCCAGTATTGTTTAAAATATCTCGTATATACGTTAACCATTTAAAACTTACTACAGAATTCTGGTGCAAATTGTACATTAACCTATACATTACACAAGATAATTTCGATCCACCCGTTATAAGCTTATGCCAGAACATAACCATTCTAACACTGATTGCAATTTCTAGGGGATATCTTCCCAACTCACCATATTTTACCATATAGTTTGGGGTGCTCTTCCGAATGTTAAGAATTTCCTTACAAAACTGTAAATGTATTTTTTCGATACTTTTTGAATTTTCATAGCCCCAGATTTCACATCCATATAATAAAATAGGTGACACAAGTGCATCAAATAATTTCAGTTGAAGATCTACAGGAATGGAAATATTTCTAATCTTAATATACAATGCATATAAAAAAAACATTTTTGCTTGCTCTGTTAGTTTACTTTTGGCTTTTGTAAATATACCATTGTAGTTTAATATTCTTCCAAGATATGGGTACGAATCTTGTATTTCTAAAATATCATTATTTAACGAAAAGTGATGGTCTCTTTTACTTTTTCTTTTTTCAAAAATCAAAACTTTAGTCTTTTGGGTATTAACTGTTAATTTCCATATATTACAATAATTTTGGAATTCATTCAATGCGTTCTGTAGGCCATCTGGTGTTTCTGACAAAAGCACTGTATCATCAGCATATAATATAATAAACAATCTTAAGAACAAACCTAAATTTTGATCACTAATGGCATACACTTTATTCAAACAAGAAACATCACGTTGATTGAGGAAATCCTCTAGATCGTTAAGAAAGAGGGAAACAAAAATGGCGATAGGTTTTCTGCTTGTTTTACCCCGACATTGCACATGAAAAAGTCGGATGTATCATTACCATTAATTACGCATGATTTGGTATTTTGATATTAATTATAAAGGACTTTAAATATTTTGCCCGTAATGTTACTATTTTACAACAAGCACCACCAGTCGTCCTGCCACCTTGCGATTGGTCGGTCACCTGTCGGACGATCCCACGATCGATAGTGCGACCAGTCCCGACTGGTTGCACGCTCTTACGATTGGTGGTACCACCAGTCTTTAGCTCGCTAACGAGTATATTTGGAGTGACTTCGTGGGTCCAAGTCGCTCTCCATTACGACACTGAGGCTTTACAGTGTATATATAGTCATTTGTCTGCTTTCTTTTTTACTGAAAACTTTATTTTGTTATTCTTTCATACGTATCTTTTAACAGCTGTGGAGTGCCCGACTTTGCGAGCTCCTCTCGAAGGCACGATGGTAGGTTCCGGGAATGCTTTCGGAACAGTTCTGCGGTTCGAATGTAACGAGGGATTCCGACTGTCCGGTTCAGTGGAGAGACGCTGTCAGGCAGATAGAACATGGAGCGGCGAAACAGTCCTTTGTCAAGGTAATATACCAATAACCAATGATATACAGCAAACTAAACCCTCTTAAGAGAGCCGAACCCCTTTTGGTAGGATACGTTCCATTGGCTGGCTTCTATATTGGAACCCTGCCGTAAAAATCCTTCCAAGTATGTTTTAAACTTTATTTAAAATAACGAAAGCTTCAATGATGTAAATCATTTAAACTTGAAATATAACATACAATTCTTGCTCTTCTATTACAGTTGCAATGTTTCGTAGTTACGTTGTATTATCATACTTATTCAGTATATATAAACCACGTGATCTTGAAACTATTGTCTTGTTTTTTACTCTGACGTTAAAATTTGAAATGCGAATTTTCTGTTGGTTGATTTCTAAACCGTACTCGAGAAATATTTTTGAGGTCATGTTGCAACTTTTCAAATTGCTTACTACGCAATTCTAATAATGTCCCGTTTCGTATTAGCCAATCGGATTGCAGATGTGTTTTGAAGGCGTGACGTCATTATTTGTGACGTTTCTCCTATTGTTGACTTCTAGCTCGCTCTCCAGGTAGATCCTCTCAAAACAAATACTCGAGCTCGAGATGGGACTCACCCAATAGTAAGTCTCGTTAAAAATTACCAAGTCTCGTACACGTCTGAATAGGCTCCGAATTGAAACCACTAGGGTCAGAGTTCATCCGTTCAGATTCAATAACTTTTGCGACACTTTGTTTTTTTATAATGATGTATCGGACAGTTGTCAGAATTTCGATGTAGTGTTAGAGTGAAGTTTTATCGAGATAATTGTGTACAATTTTATAACTGTAGTATAAAGATAATAGATTGTACACCGATTGTGTATGTTTAGTCGGTATTTGCATGGCTGCACTTTTTTGTTTTTCGTTTTGTCAGGCTAGATTCTAGCTACAAATGTTTAATTGTCCGCAGATGTTCAAGGGGTTGTGGTCAAGTATTTTGTCTCAAATAACGAGTTTCCGTGTGAAAATATCACGAAACTAACACCGATAATGGTCTGACTAGTTGTGATGAACTCCGACCCGACAATGGTTTATAGATCTGAAGCGTCCTGTGTTGGTGTGTTGTGTGACCCAAGCTTCTGCACTAGCCTCGCATACCCTTTCATGTGTTTTACCTTGCTTCCCATGCATTGCTTACTTACAGACCAACTTTCTATCACAGAGGTCAACTGTCGGTGGCCAGAGCCGTTCTACAACGGATACGTCCTGGGCGAAACAACTACGGTCGGGTCAGAGCTTTTCTTCAGGTAAGTCAGGTCTGGGAGTACGGAAACACACGGCACACAGACGTTTACGGGACTTTATGGGGGAAGGGGGCGTTTTGAGGGTAAAATTGTGATGGGGTAAGGAAGAAGGGATAAGGGGCTGACACGATGAATTGCGAAAGAAGAAGGCAGGGTGAAAGTTGGAGACAGACACGTGCTTGGAGGAGGAACACGTGTTTTATGACAGAATGTTGCTTCGAAGGTGAGTTGAAAAAGGAAAGGTGCCGTTTTGTACGTTTTGTGAAATCGAAAGTACCATTCATTGCGCGAACACACTCATCAGTTCGTGCGTTACCCACACCCGTGCATGTTTTATCCGCAGTATAATAATGTCATATGTACTTGTTGAAGAGTATTGTTTCTGCTACAGTTGTAGTGTTCGTACCAACTTTGACGGAATTTCGCTGTCCACCAGATGTTTAGAGAACGGTGAATGGTCCTCCCCTCCACCTACATGCTGGGGTAAGCTTTGTCATATACAAACACTTGTAGATCTTAATGTTAGCTATACAGATCACAGTGACATAAATACTATTTTCATCAATACACTGATATATTCCTACGTCACATTGTTGTTTGTTTTTTTGATGAATGAATATCCCTACGCCGAACTTGAACTCACCCTAGATTATGAAACATTCAAAATCTTAACATAATATTCTGTTGACACTATTGTAAATTTTGTATTTGAATGTCTGTGACTATTTGGTTATAAGGGCAGTGTGAGGTCCCCACTATCTTGAACGCCTCTTTGGACAAATACCGAGAGGGCGAATGGGTGCGAAGTGGCCTCGACCTGGAATATCAATGCAAGAATGGCCTCGTTCCGGATGTAACCAATCGCGTGCGATGTCACAACGGTACTTGGACGTCAATGCCGCGATGTGTACCAGGTAAAACATGTTTTAGTATGATTGTGATGTGTAAATACAAAGAATTTTTTTAAGTACTGGAAAAAACAAAAAACGAAGAGCAAAAACTAAAAGCACCAATATTGAACATCATAATATTTCCTCCGGTTATAGATATATCCACCGGAGAATACAGAGTATTACGATGACTACCAGAAAAAACTAATAATGCTTCAATTTTGAATCATTGCGTTAAACGTGAAAGACTACTTTTTTCCTCATGACGTTACATTTTGTCTCCTCTCCGCAATGTGTAATTGTAGCTGCGTGTCCCCGGCCCCCACCCCACGTCGACTACGGTTTAAGGGTGTTTGACGGTTTACGACACAACAGCCGGGCTAAATACATCTGCCGGAACGGCTTCCGGCTCCGGGGCATGCCTGCCGACAATTCTTTCCTCACATGCAAGTTCGGGTTATGGACAGGAGGAAACCCAGTCTGCGAGGAATGTAAGTATTATAAGACGAGAAGAGTATATACATGTAAGTCAGAGGGACCGGTAAACGTAATATTTGATTTGTTCAATGACGGTAACAAAAAGTACATTTTAGCATTAACAATTCCCAGCGATTAACATGCTATTAATATGTATGATCACAATTGTAAAACTTAAAAGACAGTGTTTCTGGCAGAGCTGTTGAAGATCTTATTTGAAATAATCGCGTCATTTGGCTCATACATGGCCGACTGAATGATTGGCTGTGTTTGTGAGTATTTCGTTAAACTATTTCTTCAAAATACAAACTTGGTTTTAGACACAAAATAATTAAGATCGTACGATTTAGAACGTCGTCTCAGAGCTGAAAGGTCTACAGACTTCATATGTTTTTACTTCACAGCAATACATCTATCATTTTTGCATTAGAACTCTCAGAACGGTTATATGATCCGTAACTATCCCATTCCTGATCACAATGTCACATATTTATACTGATAGTTTACACGCACTAAGAAGGTTAAATGTGTAATTCATGTTTCCAAAATAGATTTCTTGTTTACAATAACATATGCTCCAAATTATGCAACATATTTTTTCAGTTTATTGCCCAAACCCTGGAACGATTGCAAATGGGAAAATTTACAAGAATGGTCTTCGTGCAATATTCGATTTCCAGCACTACATAAAAACAATTCGACATGGAGACCGGATCCTCTTCAAGTGTAAGGAGGGTTTTGTGTTGAATGGACCAAGTGGCGCTACATGTGTCAATGGACAATGGCGCCCTCCTATCAATAATCCGGATCGCAAATGCAAACCTGCCACGCACGCGCCGTTTCCAAAACTGTGGATACCATTAGAGGAAATGCCTGAAACGTAGTACTGGGGTATTTGAGATATATTTGTGTAGCGAGTGAGTGACGCCAAGGGGAGAGTTTTGTACATTTACTTTTATTCCGTGTGCTATGAATGCTCTTGTGGCTGTGGAAGAGAGGATGGCCGAACAGACATCGGCGTCACTCAAACGCCCAATGGGCGACAACTCTCATGGATTTCAATACACCGCAATTCTACTAAATTCACTGTAGTTTTGAGAATAACGGAAGAGTCCAGTTGATATTACTGAAACCTGAAATCAAAATTGTAATGTACACGTTCGTAATTTTTATCGTTTTTGTATGGTAATTAAGACTGAAGCTAAGCATATGTACTCCTGACTTGTTGCTATATCAACGCAACGTCTCATTATTTCTATCCTTGGTGCAGTAGACGGCGGGCTTCTGTGAGCATGCTCCGCCTCGATTACAGATAAGTGAGTGACCTAGTTATTGGCAGGTTGATATCATTATTTTGTCGATAATTCTAGTTCATCTTTCAGCATTATCATCAAAACATAATTAACTGTTCACGGTGTTTTAGCACCGGTACGCAACTTAGATACGTGTGTACCTATTTTTATAGTTGACTGTATCGTATCATGTGTAGTGGTGTGTGTACTATATAGGATAGTGCATACGATCGTGTATATACCGTATTGTATTTACGATTACAGTCAGACAATTATTTGACCAGATTGAAGTGTACTTATATTAACATGTAACATGTGGTTTGTACTGGGGGTCGGTGGCTTTCCATATCAGTAAAAGTCACGTGCTCCCATTTTCATGTTCCCATCATCAAACAAAAAAAATTCCTGAAATATACTTGATATACATAATCTCACATTTTAGCAAACCTCAGTTCCATTTTATCATACGATCAATATCTTTTTCAAATATTCGGAAAAACATGCTTTTCCAGGTCAAGTTTGAAGTATCAATTCAGCTACTATGCCTCTAAATCTGATTTTCTTCATTGTGACGTCATAAAATAAACTAGTAGTCAGTGATGTGATATCTTGGTCACGATACGAATTAACACACTAAAGTATGTCATGGGTGTTTTTCACTGAATAACACGGTAATCGCTGGATTAATTTAAATAAAGTGTACTTTATATGACAAATGAAATGCTTGACAAAATGTTTGAAAATTATTATGACATGTGAAAGAACCAGAAATAGAAATGACCTATACGGATACCTGAAATGCCGTATTTAGATTAAAACTCTTCCAACGTGTATGCGTTTGTTAAATAACATTCTTCACGGTCCATAAACAAAGATGTGTTTAGGGCCAATAAAAGGTCGAAAAGACTCGCCAAAAGAAATTGTATGAAACAAACAAAAAGCAAAAAGACGAAGGTAAAATTGAAAAGGAAAAGTGGCTATATTTATATATTTTGAACAGACTCAACAGTTTTCAAGTAGTCTAGAATTGTAGATAATATTTAATGTTTCGAAAATAGATCTGAGATTTGTCTTAATCCGTGTGTGAAGGATCTAAGGAGACATTTGAACTGATTTGTGGGAGATCTCTATTCTGGATTACTTTGCCTTAGTTCCATTTTTCTCCGCTAGACTGTGCTCTTTGATACATGTATTTAAGCAGGATAACCTAGCGGAGAGTAGAACAAACTACGGTAGGTAGACTAGTCGAGGAAGACCTCACGAGATATTTGAAATGAAGTGTAAAAACCATACAAAGAAGTACTCGCGAAGTACAAGTGATTTAAAACACAAGAATACAATCCCACGCGGAATGAACCTAACCACTGTAGGTTATCGGTAGTATTTTACAGCAGATCCATGTACATTGTCGTATTTTTGATAATTAAACATCGGTGCCATTTTTTCATGCAATAATGTCTGTTATTCTTACTTTACAAATACACACGTTTGGTGGGCGACACGTGACGTACATGCTAGGTTGTATACGTGTACCTCATTCGGGTACGTCATTGTTAGTCATTACACGTGTACGACAAATACATACAAACGTTCACCTGTACATACACAGAGTATACGTACACGTCCTTAATAGGCAACATTTTCACCTATCAATGATAGTATTGAAAGTTTCAAATTATATTTTGTAGGATGATTTCTATGCTAACTGGACTCTGGATATCTAGTTTCTTGACTGTGGATATTTGTTTGATAGGACTAGATATTTAATTGTCTTGACTGCCGATATTTGTTTGACAGGACTGGATATTTAATTGTCTTGACTGTGGATATTTGTTTGACAGGACTAGATATCTAATTTCTTGACTGTGGATATTTGTTTGACAGGACTAGATATCTAATTTCTTGACTGTGGATATTTGTTTGATAGGACTAGATATTTAGTTGTCTTGACTGCCGATATTTGTTTGACAGGACTAGATATTTAATTGTTTTGACTGCTGATATTTGTTTGACAGGACAAGATGTTTAATTGTCTTGACTGAGGATATTTGTTTGATAGGACTAGATATTTAATTGTTTTGACTACCGATATTTGTTTGACAGGACTAGATATTTAATTGTTTTGACTGCTGATATTTGTTTGACAGGACAAGATATTTAATTGTCTTGACTGAGGATCTTTGTTTGATAGGACTAGATATTTAATTGTTTTGAATGCCGATATTTGTTTGACAGGACTAGATATTTAATTGTTTTTACTGTGGATATTTGTTTGACAGGACTAGATATTTAATTGTTTTGACTGTGGATATTTGTTTGACAAGACTAGATATCTAATTTCTTGACTGGGGATATTTGTTTGACCGGACGAGATATTTAATTGTTTTGACTGCTGATATTTGTTTGACAGGACAAGATATTTAATTGTCTTGACTGAGGATCTTTGTTTGATAGGACTAGATATTTAATTGTTTTGACTGCCGATATTTGTTTGACAGGATTAGATATTTAATTGTTTTTACTGTGGATATTTGTTTGACAGGACTAGATATTTAATTGTTTTGACTGTGGATATTTGTTTGACAAGACTAGATATCTAATTTCTTGACTGGGGATATTTGTTTGACCGGACGAGATATTTAATTGTTTTGACTGCTGATATTTGTTTGACAGGACAAGATATTTAATTGTCTTGACTGAGGATCTTTGTTTGATAGGACTAGATATTTAATTGTTTTGACTACCGATATTTGTTTGACAGGACTAGATATTTAATTGTTTTGACTGTGGATATTTGTTTGACAAGACTAGATATCTAATTTCTTGACTGGGGATATTTGTTTGACCGGACGAGATATTTAATTGTTTTGACTGCTGATATTTGTTTGACAGGACAAGATATTTAATTGTCTTGACTGAGGATCTTTGTTTGATAGGACTAGATATTTAATTGTTTTGACTACCGATATTTGTTTGACAGGACTAGATATTTAATTGTTTTGACTGTGGATATTTGTTTGACAGGACTAGATATTTAATTGTTTTGACTGTGGATATTTGTTTGACAAGACTAGATATCTAATTTCTTGACTGGGGATATTTGTTTGACCGGACGAGATATTTAATTGTTTTGACTGCTGATATTTGTTTGACAGGACAAGATATTTAATTGTCTTGACTGAGGATATTTGTTTGATAGGACTAGATATTTAATTGTCTTGACTGCCGATATTTGTTTGACAGGACTAGATATTTAATTGTTTTGACTGTGGATATTTGTTTGACAAGACTAGATATCTAATTTCTTGACTGGGGATATTTGTTTGACCGGACGAGATATTTAATTGTTTTGACTGCTGATATTTGTTTGACAGGACAAGATATTTAATTGTCTTGACTGAGGATCTTTGTTTGATAGGACTAGATATTTAATTGTTTTGACTGCCGATATTTGTTTGACAGGATTAGATATTTAATTGTTTTTACTGTGGATATTTGTTTGACAGGACTAGATATTTAATTGTTTTGACTGTGGATATTTGTTTGACAAGACTAGATATCTAATTTCTTGACTGTGGATATTTGTTTGATAGGACTAGATATTTAGTTGTCTTGACTGCCGATATTTGTTTGACAGGACTAGATATTTAATTGTTTTTACTGTGGATATTTGTTTGACAGGACTAGATATTTAATTTTCTTGACTGTGGATATTTGTTTGACAGGACTAGATATCTAATTTCTTGACTGTGGATATTTGTTTGATAGGACTAGATATTTAGTTGTCTTGACTGCCGATATTTGTTTGACAGGACTAGATATTTAATTGTTTTTACTGTGGATATTTGTTTGACAGGACTAGATATTTAATTGTTTTGACTGTGGATATTTGTTTGACAAGACTAGATATCTAATTTCTTGACTGGGGATATTTGTTTGACCGGACGAGATATTTAATTGTTTTGACTGCTGATATTTGTTTGACAGGACAAGATATTTAATTGTCTTGACTGAGGATCTTTGTTTGATAGGACTAGATATTTAATTGTTTTGACTGCCGATATTTGTTTGACAGGACTTGATATCTATATATATATAATTGTTTTTGACTGCCGAAATTTGTTTGACAGGACTTGATATCTATATATATATAATTGTTTTTGACTGCCGATATTTGTTTGACAGGACTTGATATCTATATATATATAATTGTTTTTGACTGCCGATATTTGTTTGACAGGACTAGATATTTAATTGTTTTTACTGTGGATATTTGTTTGACAGGACTAGATATTTAATTGTCTTGACTGTGGATATTTGTTTGACAGGACTAGATATTTAATTGTTTTAACTATGGATATTTGTTTGACAGGACTTGATATGTAATTGTCTTGACTATGGATATTTGTTTGACAGGACTAGATATATAATTGTCTTGACTGTGGATATTTGTTTGACATGACTGGATATTTTATTGTTTTGACTGTGGATATTTGTTTGACAGGACTTGATATGTAATTGTCTTGACTGTGGATATTTGTTTGACAGGACTTGATATCTATATATATATAATTGTTTTTGACTGCTGATATTTGTTTGACAGGACTTGATATCTATATATGTATAATTGTTTTTGACTGCCGATATTTGTTTGACATGACTAGATATCTCATTGTCTTGACTGCCGATATGTGTTTGACAGGACTCGATATCTCTCTCTCTATATATAATTGTCTTGACTGTGGATATTTGTTTTACAGGACTCGGGATACTTTATTGGTTTGACTGCCGATATTTGTTTGACAGGACTTGATATCTATATATATATAATTATTTTTGACTGTGGATATTTGTTTGACAGGACTCAGGATACTTTATTGGTTTGACTGCCGATATTTGTTTGACATGACTAGATATTTAATTGTCTTACGTATTCTTTGGAGGATTCTGAAAACCGGAAGTTTCTATTCAGTTAGCAGGACGAAAACATGAATGACTTCATTGGGTTTCCGGAAATGTAATAATGAATATATATAAATATTAATTGTATTTCTTTGACAACAATTATAAAACAAGCTATTGCACTTAGACTAATCAATCTTGTTGACCTGGATGGAAGTAGGCCTTATGTGTGAGGAAACTGGAGTACCGAAGAAAATCCACGTGATAAATAAAATGACAAATAATCAAACAGCTTTTTAGATTTTAATGAAACGATCAAACAATATAAAGTATAAACAGGAATGTTGGCATCACTTCCTGCTCATGAGAGGGAGCATCGTGGGTCCTACTACAGTAGGAGATCCGACCTTGGGTGGTTCTAACACTGTAACAAAACACGACGTGATAGATTAGATATGCAGAACTCTGCATTATGATTTCATTGCCCTGGTCAATGCTACACTATAGAAACACTTTATTACTCTATATTTTTTCATATTGTGGTAATAGATGTTAACGGAGTAGCGCGAGAAGAATGAGAATTGTTATAAAACGTGTACAGAGGAGTGACAGAATGATGAAGATAATTGATAGAATGATAACATTGTTAGAAGAATGAAAATGATAATGATCCTTGTACAGATGTTGACAGGAACGACTGAAGAATGAGAATAATGATGCTTGTACAGATGTTGACAGGAACGACTGAAGAATGAGAATAATGATCTTTGTACAGATGTTGACAGGAGTGACTGAAGAATGAGAATAATGATTCTTGTTCAGATGTTGACAGGAGTGACTGAAGAATGAGAATAATGATCCTTGTACAGATGTTGACAGGAGTGACTGAAGAATGAGAATAATGATC